TTTTGGTTCAGATCTAATTTGGTTCTTGATTCAAGATTGATCCTTGAAAATATGTTTTCTGAAACAGGGAATTCGATTCCCTGCAAAGATGGGAGAAAATTTTTGAAATTCGCCCTATCTATTCTGCAAGATTTGGGCGTCCATGTGATGGATATCCCATCCCTTCAGCCTCGGCCAGCAATCCTTGGCTACCATAGTCCTTGCCTCGGTTTGCTATCCTCGGCTTCAGTCATCTTCTTTCAAAGACTTGGGGTCCTCGGGTAACGTTCGAAACTTGAAGAGTGAATTTACCTTGTTGCCCTCGGCGCGTCTGCGGCAGGCCTTTTCTTTCCCATCTCGGGCCCCTCCGCGGGCCTCTTCGGCACCTCTTCCCGAGTGGTGGGCTTCTTAGGCTCTTCTCCCCTAGTGGTGGGCTTCTTCGGCGCCACCACAATCTGCTTCCCCTTGGAGGGTACTTGTGAATCCCCCCCTTTTCCCGGGGCAAGGGGGCAACCTCGTCGCCAGGCCTCTTCGACGTCTATCCACCGGCCTGCTTTGCCCAGGCCTTTGCTAACAAGCGCTCCTTGACGTCCATTGGCACTTCTACGAAACAACAAAAGAAAGCAGTTAGCACATCAGCAAAAAGAAAGGGAAAAGAACGTGGAAGACACACTAACTACAAAACCTCTCCTACCGAGGGGGGCTGGGCTAATCCCAACGAAGACTGGGGGGGATCTCCTCCTTCACCAACGGCTTCGCCTAAAATGTCCCCATCACAAGTAGATGAGCTACTGTTGCAGCCTCTTCATCACGGAGTAGTGGGGGACATCTCTTGACTACGACGCAGGCCTTCCCCCAGTCGGACCTGACGCGCCAGCCCCTGGGGTAGGAGACGTAGAAAAACTTGTCCTTTCACTCGTGAACGGAAGAGGGGTTGTGCACTAGCTTCCCTCTCCTCGGGTGGAAGTAGTACATGTTGGCCTCTGAAGCATGCTTCCTCGGCATGAACATGGCACAAAATAGTTTCAATGTCAACTCCATGCCCTTGAGCCGAGCCCACACCATCATAGCCATGATGGTCCGAAGGGCGTTAGGTACGAGCTGGCTGATGGTGATGCCGTACAACTCTAGCAGCTCAGAAATCAAGGTTGGGAGGGGAAACGTAAGGCCAAACTCTAAAAGATGCTGGTAGATGCAGATTTCCCCCTCCTCGGGGATCTGCAACTTATTGCCCATGTCGGGGACCCTCAGGCTGTAGGACCGAGGTATATGGATTCTCTTCGCCAGGGATTTGACTTGGCACACGTCCAAGGAGTTGTCAACTCCGAATGTGGGACACCAGCATCAGCCACCCTTCGGGCAGCACTCCCCCCTACTGGCCCGGTGACGAGTTCCGTAGCATCACCCCTCAGGCTCCCTTGGCGACGCTGAGGCAACGCTTTCATGGGGAGAGTCACATCCCCGGCGATTGCCTTCGGAACCCCCTGAGGTTAGCCTCTCCCTCAAAACGGCCACCTCCTGTTGATGGGGGACTACAGCTAAGGAACCTAGAGAAGATGAGGGAGAGGGGGTTGCAGGAGAGCTCCCTCCCGAGATGTTCATGAGTTCATGACACTCGGGACCAAAGTTTGTAAATGACATTTTGAGATTACCTAAAAAGGATGGAGTGTCCCAAAGAAAGAAAGAGGCAAAGGAGTTCTGGAGACTTGGGAGTTAGGGAGCTACGTTCACTTGAGAGCAAGGGCGTCTAAGTCCAAATGAAGAAGAAAGGCACCGCCAGGGCCCCTATTTAAAGGAAAATGAATGGCCAAGATTTCTCCAAATCTGACGGCTGAAACTAATCCGCTCCCACCATTCAACCGCGATGCGCCACCTAGCGTAGGTCCTCAGATGACGAAACAACGCCCAAGGCAATGGTTCAGATTGGCGCAGATCCAACGAACGCGGGAGTCCCCTAGAGCAGGCCCTCGGAAGACGAAACCACGCTCAGAGCAACGGTTTAGATCGACGCAGATCCAACGGACGTGGGAGTCCCCCGCTCTTGCGAACTAGTCTCACTTACCTCCTAGCTCATCCCCTCGAAAGGTGAAATGATGCCGGGTGAACCGCAAAGACCACCCGTAGCAACCCGCCGAGCGAACCGAAAGACCCACTCGCAACGGACCATCGGACGGACCGTTCAACCCAGCAAACACAAGATTCCTAGGGCGGCCATCCCTTGCACGGTAGCCCCACCAGGGTGACCTACCTGTGCGGGATACAGGACACCCCCACTAGGCCAAGGCATTCACGTCGCTCGCATTGCCGAACTGAAGAGAGACGACGAGAACAACGAAGACGATGCCACTGCAGGGCATCCCTCAGCCGACGATTCCGAAGGCATTACGACCGCTACTCCCAATGACCAAAGCCGAACGATGACCACCCTTATTACGGGCAAAAGCCGAGGCCTCACCTCGTTCTCGGGAGTGGGGGGCAAGTGATGTGGGTTAGCTTAGCCCAGCCCACTAACGCCTGCTAACGTCAGCCATAGTAGGCGAGAGTCATGCTGCCTTCATACGGAGCCAATCACATAACTATCTAGCGTACCGCCAGGGCCTGCAGCCTGACCTCGTACGACTCTCATCCGAGGCGTTCATCTCTACCTACCACCAGCACGCTTGAGTATAAATAAGAGGTAACTGCCCCTGAAAAGGGGTTGGAACTAAGTAACTCCAACATTTACTCACTCATTTACTTCCTGCACCTACATTGTCTACCTAACATTAATTCTGGGAGATCTAGTGCATCCGWGGACTTTCTCYAGGAGCACTCTCACACTCTTCCCAGCTTCACACCTCGTACTAACTTGAGCGTTGGAGCCTTCACCTCGGGTATCCACCCCGAGGCCTCTGACACTCTCTATCTTGCAGTATCTCAGGCCACCAGGGACCTCGCCTCGGCCAACAGTCCTCGGCTACCATAGTCCTCACCTCGGTTTGCTGTCCTTGGCTTCGGTCAACCTCTTCCAAAGCCTCGGGGTCCTCGGATAACATTCAAAACTTGAAGAGTGAATTTACCTTGTTGCCCTCGGCCAAACCGCACGGCAACAAGATGTATGATTTACACCTCTTTTCTATTGATGAAACAATAAGCAAAATCTTAAGAGCTAAATGAATTACATATAATATTCATGCAGCATTCTTTATCAATATGTCGCCATTTTGGCATTCATGCTGCTAAACTTGTTCAGGACTTAAAGTATAGGTTAAATTGTTGTACATCTGCTATTTATAAAAAAATGTAAATCTGCTTAGATGTATAAGCATGTTGGGCTTCCTAGGATCATTATTCCTGGCATCCATCATCCCTTGATTTCTATTTATATTTGCCGATGTTAGATGGGTATGCCTTTTAGTATCTATTTGAAGTGTCTTAGTGTCAAACTTCTTTGATTGGGCAAAATATACATATTTTGTTAACCAGAGTGGATGCTAATGACTATTATTAGGGGGAATTATTCTGTCATTTTCCCTCTTTTTCATCTTGATCAGAGATTGAACTGTCTGTAAGTGGTCAACTGGTGACTATCCTTTTACTAACACATTTTAGAGGACTTGCTTTGTTACATTGCTATAAATTCCTTGACTTTTTACAGAATATATTGGGAGACCAACAATTCATAGAAATTCTTACTACATTATCAAATACTGATCCCAGTGTCAATTATTTGTTGAGATTTATGTAAGTCCTTTTCTGCACCTAGACGCACAATTTGGGGATTCTGTTGTGATTGTACTTCTGCTACTGCAAATCATGTTTCAAACTCTACAGAAACTTACATGACTCAAAAATGATAATGCCAGATTTCAAGCTGTTTGTTATATGGATTTGGAAACTGGGTTTCTATCACTTGAGAATTTCAAGAATGCAATTTCAAGTATTCAGAGGCAACCCAAGATTGAAAGTCTACAAGGTATGTGAACTTCAATTATTTTCTGGTTATTGTACTTTTTGCTTCCCGACTCTTCAGTTTTTATCCTGCTGATGTACATGTTTATTTTACTTATCACTATTGTAGTTGTTGTATGAGTCTTTGCCTTTCATTCTTACAGTAATCTGTTCTTCTCCATGGTTGTCTTATTTTGCTGTGATCGTGTTGCTAACATAATTTTTCCCTGGCATATACACTTCTAAAAATTCAGTGGCCAAATGCATATTGAATTTGTTTTAGATGTTATTTCCTTTGTATTACAAGGTTAATACTCAACATCCCCCTTTTGGGAACTCCGTAAAGGTATAATTCAGTGGATGCTCCCTTGGGAAAATGCATAAATCGGGAACTAGAGCCTCTGACATGGTTATGATATGGTGATTTTTGTATATTCAGATCTGAATGGATCAAGGGATTCTATTAGGATGGAACTTTTGTCAAGATTCAGGCCCTAAAATTTTCTTTCTTTCTTCTTATGTATATCAAGGATAAACATTGAGGAAAAGCCCAAGATAATCATAGGATGCAGAGGAGTTATCTAGCAGCTGTTGGATGCTACAATGACAAGATTAGAGAGGTTACATGTTTCATTTCTAAGGTTAACCCAATGTAAGATGGCTTCAAGATGATCAAATCTCTCAAATATATAATAATGAGGAAAGAATAGAGAATGAAGAGTAGTTAGAGTAAGACCTCCCTTTGCAAATCAAGTATTAAAATGCTCAAAATCCTTCAATTGAACAAAAAAAAGAACAATCCTTCAGAAACAAACGCAAAGAAAAGAACTGATAAAAAAATCAAACCCAAAGAATCCAAAAGGCACGATTTTATTTAGCAATCTCTTCATTCTCCTTTACAGCAATATTATGGACCTTATATAGACCTTTTCAATTTTAACACAATCACTTTTGAACTTGTAGTTGACTAACATCAAAACTGACTGAAACTCCTAAAATGACTTCTAAAAATTGATTTTTTGACCCACTAGAAGTTCGAAGTTCTATGTAAATTTATAATAAGAAAACAACTTCCAAGGCAAATACCTACCAAACTAAATCCTAGAACTACTAAAACCTATTCAAAAATTCTTTTTTTGGTAAAATATTCAAAAGTTCAAATTACCCAAAAATAGAAATCTTGTCAGACTCATCAACCATCTGTACATTGGCCGTAACTCATCTGATTGATGTCTTAATAATACAATCTTGGTTTTGTTGGATAGGTAATTGAATGACCTATCTAATGACACCAAAATCAAGTAAAATGAACAATTTTTTACCCTTTAGATTCAGGTTATGAGTAATGGAAGCAAGATGTTTTTTCCTCTTCAATTTTAAATCGAGGCTTAAATAACTGACAAATAACTTTGAATATTATCTCCTTTGTGTCCTACATCAGAATCCCTCATTCCATAAGATTCCAAATCAGCCAACTCTGTTGAAGTTGCAGCACAATGGGGTACCCAATTACTAGACTGATGGTCTACAGTACTTATGCAGAGGGGTACAAGAGGGCATATCTGATAGCCCGATAATCCTTTTATTAATTTATTTATTTGATTCTCGGGTCATCATATTTACCATTTCTTATTTTCATATTGGATTTGTTTCAACACATTCTTCTTGGATTTATCTCCAAATCTATTCTCTATCGTGAAATTTGTCACAGAAAGATGTAATGCCAAAAACTTTGTTTAATCTTCCCTTTTCTTGTGGAGGATCTGCCATTAATATCTTATCAACTATGTCTTTTAAAAGGATTGAAAATTGAGTTGTGCTTGTATATCTCTTGTATATATTTTTTTTCAATGAGTTATTATTTTACTCTAAAAAAGAGAGAAAAGTTGGCTTCCCAAATACTTTCTTCCTAAGATATAAAACCTATTTTGTCCTAGTACCAAGAAACAAAAAGTTGTGCTGGCACTAGCTTCCTCCCTTGCTCTTGTTGAATCTTTCTTGTAATCGGTGTACCAATTAAAATCTTAGGAAGTATTATTTCACAAATGAATAAGTTGGTTGGTTTTGCAAGAATTAGCCCAGCTTTGTTGAGGTACAACATCACATTTGTTTCATAGCCAAGCATTTACTGATGCACCTTCCGACATCAAATTTGATTGGAGTGAGTTTGTATGTATATTCTCATTGTACTTTGCCTTGGTCTACATGGGTGCTGATGTATTTTAATCTACAGTAAGTGCAATAGAATTTTACCACTACACCAAGTAATGACCCTTAATTATAGCAATAAAATAATGTTAAAAAAAGATGGCTTTTAATGTGCTTGATAACATTTTTAACCATGTTGGATTTTGTTTAATGAGGTCTAATTTTTGTTGTATAACTTCCAATGATCATAAAAAATGTGCATTTTGATTTGGAAGAAGTAACTTGATAAATCAATAGATCATGGATTACTAGGAGTGTAAGAGATTGGACAAATTTTCATATCAGATTTATTCATCAAAATAAAAATTTCATATCAGATTTCTTATCTCCTAGATGTATATGCTAGAATCTGGTCTAGGTTTGTAAATCTAGAAGAGAAAGAGCCAGCCACAAGTCTGTGGGTGTGTCCATTGTGGAGCTCGACACCCAAACAGAGAAATTTATATTAAAAAGTAAAAGGACCAAATTGTCCTTAGAGTACAAGAGTAGATAGTGTACAAGAAGAAAATAAAATACAACATGAGGTGAATTTACAAAAATAGCCCTCTCGGCTAACTCTCTTTCTCTCTACACTCCCCCTCAAATTGATGTCTAGGAATCAACATCAGTTTGTCCATAAGAAAAAAGTGTCATACCTGCGTCATAACTTTTGTCAAGAGATCAACAAGTTGGAGCCCAGAGGACACGTGGGGAAGAGAAATAGTGCCAGCTTGAAGAAGATCACGAATGAAGTGGCAATCAACTTCAATGTGCTTTGTGCACTCATGGAAAACAAGATTGGAAGCAATCTTGATTGCACTGACATTATCTGCAAAGAGGGGAACTGACGGTGGTGACTCTTGTAGTATGTCATGTAGAAGAGCCCTAAGCCATATAATTTCACTACATACTGAGGACATGGCTCTATATTCAGCTTCAGTAGAAGATTTTGAAATTGTAAATTGTTTCTTACACTTCCAGGCAATGAGAGAGTTACCAAGAAAGACACACCATCCTATAGTGGATTGTTTAGTGTCTAGACAGCCAGCCCAATCAGCATCGGCATAAGTAGCAAGGCTAATGGATGAGGAGAAGTGTAATTCATGAGATAGGGTTCCCCTCAGATAATCTGATGAACTACGGACATGTGGGGTTGTCGTGGAGATGACACAAACTGTCTCACTATCTGAACTGCATATGATATATCCGGCCAAGTCATCGTGAGATATATTAAGTTGCCTACCAAATGTCGGTACAGAGTAGGATTTTCAAGAGGAGAGCCTTCATCCTTGCTTAATTTCAAATTAACCTCCAAGGGAATATCAACAGTCTTGGACTCACTGAGATTAGCCATTTTGACAAGATCCATTGCATACTTATGCTGGTTAACAAAATAGCCATGGGAATTACGGCTGACCTCAAGTCCCAAGAAGTAGGTTAAAGGGCCCAAATCCTTCATCTTAAAGGAGTCACTAAGGAGTCTTTCCAGATAAGTGGTTCCTTCCACATCATTCCTTGTAATGATTATATCATCAACATATAGAAGAAGAAGAGTTACACCCTGATTCCGATGCAAAGTAAAAAGTGAGTGATCAGAAGAGCTTTGAATAAATCTCGCATCAGTGGTCGCAGATCTGAATCTCTCGAACCAGGCTTTAGGTGCTTGTTTCAGGTCATACAGAAACTTCTTGAGACGACAGACAAGTTGAGGATCTTTGTCATATCCAGGGGGAGGTTTCATGTAAACCGTTTCCTTCAATTCTCCATGAAGAAATGCATTCTTCACATCCATCTGATGAATTGTCCTATCTTTAATTGTAGAGATGGCTAATAGGATTCTGCCTGTAGTCATTTTTGACAGGAGCAAACGTCTCTTGATAGTCTATCCCATATTCTTGTTTATGCCCTTGAGCAACAAGTCTAGCCTTGTACCTATCTAAACTTCCATCTGGCTTCAACTTTACTGAGTAGACCCAGTAGTTCCCAATGAGAGAGGCTTCAAGAGGAGCCTTGACAAATTTCCGTGTGTCATTCTCAAGAAGGGCTCAGATCTCAGAGTCCATGGCATCTTTCCAATGTGGAATTGCTACAGCCTGCTGATAAGTCTTGGGAATATTTGTGGTGGATAAAATAGCAGTGAAGGAACTATGGTCTAGAGAATAACCATAACGGTCAGGAGGGTGAATAATTCTAGAAGAGCGACGCAATGTGGGTGTAGTGGGTTCAAGTGGTGGGTTAGGAGAAGTTATAGGAATGAATGGTGTAACTGGATCAGCAACTGATGTTGGAGAAGGCGGAGGGCGCGTAGGAGCTGATGTAGACTTTTGTTGTCTAAAGTAGGTCTGAAGTTGCTGCGCAGGTGATGTTGGAGCATTTGGAAGATCTGTGGAATCAAAGTTGTGCAACAAAGAGACAGAAGGAGCAAGAAATTTAACAATATGCTCAAAGAAAGATATGTGCTCAAGAAGATGGCATTACAAGAAATCCTGATACGACGGGTTTCGAGATCATAACACAGAAATCCCTTGTGGTCAGGACTGTACCCCACAAAGGCACATAATGCTGCCAATGCAGTCAAATTGGTGCGTTCATGGGGTGGAAGATGAACAAAGCAAACACAACCAAAAACTTTGAGCAAGGATAGGTTTCGAGGTTTGTGAAATAGGGACTAGAATGGAGAGGTGTTATTCAAAACAGATGATGGAAGAAGATTTATTAGATACACAGCAGTGTTGGCTGTCTCCACCCAAAACCAAGAAGGAACATGAGTCTTGCAAAAGGGTCCGAATTACACTTAAGATGTGTCTATTCTTTTTTTCTGCTACTCTGTTTTGTTGT